CAGGGAAAATAGCAGCAGAAGTGGGTGACGTAATCGCAATTGCGAAATCCATGGTTTTCACAGTGGGCATGATGCTACCCGGTTGCCCAAGCCGAAGTAGGGAGTTGTCTTAGTGGACTCCAGTCCGAGCCTTTGGCTCAGTAACCTATCCGCAAGGCAGCGGAGCGAAGTCAGGGATTCGCACCCATTGGGAGCCGATGACTGGTTGCTCAGTTCATGCACCTTTCGTTTGGTGATTAGCTAATCCTCACCACGATTTCAACAGCAAGGTGTTGGGATACAATGCTTCACCAAGGTGAAACAGGAGGCAGCGACTTTATTTAGTGGCGAATCACTTCCGCCACTTCGCAGTCTTGCTAAACGGACATATGTGGCTTTTTATAGGGAGAACGCTTGCCAAGCGAAAACCCACCACGTCCTGGAACACTGCCGCCGAACCATTCTCTGGACCGAGATAATCCCGGGCCACCTAGCTGGCACCACGAGGAGGTGGTTCGGCAGGCCATCCGTCCGCATTGAAGGTATTGAACATTTGACCGTCCTTGATCACCGATGCTTGCGGAGTGTTGCTCACATCCGGTGGGTAAACTGGTTGATCATTGCGGAAATCCTCGGGTTGATGTTTGGCGAAAATCCTTTTGGTTCCTCACTAGCGTGTCGATTGAATTTTAATCACTTGCGTTTGACGAAGGATTCATAGTATTGAATCCTTCGTCAAACAATTTCTTGATGCTCTGGCCACCGCAGAGGATAATCAACGATGCCCTATCTGCTGCATCGAGCAGGGTGGATAGGGATATGGATGCTACTGCTCAAGCCTTCCCGTCTTCTTATTCCCCCTCTTAGGTTTTTTCACTCTTACCGTCCCGTTCCAGCTTCACTTTTATCCCCCAGTTTTCAACCCCCCGATTTTTGGCCCTCCCCCAACATGCTTTGCTGGGCATTTATCTTCCAATTTCAACTCACATGCTAACGCGGAGCGTAACTCCTCTTCTGTCTACAAGCCCATGTCCAATCAAGCGGTCTATTCCAGTTCATCGGCTTCCATTTGGAGCCCTCGATCCTCCTTCAGATTGGCATTCCTCAATGTACGCACATTACTACAGACCGGTCAACAGGCAGCACTTGCCCGAACATTGGAGACCCTCTCGATCGATATCTGCTGCTTATCAGAGACCCGCCTACAAGACTCGAGCTCTTTGCTCACTCTGCGATACCCTTCAGGTGACGCAAGCAGTATTTTCTCATTGCGCCGATCCGGTGACGATGCAGCTTCGAGCACCGGCCAAGCTGATGTGGGCATTACCCTGAGTCCTCTGGCTGAAGCTGCTCTGGTTGATTGGATTCCGATCAATAGCCGGATATGTGCGGTCCGATTGGCTGGCTCATTCAAAGCTTCGAAGTCGCGCGGGACTAATAGGTGTCTATTCATCATCGCTGCCTACGCGCCCACAAACTGTAGCGATGATTCGCTAAACAACGACTTCTACCGCCAACTGACCCAGCTCCTTCGCCACAGAAGAAGCACGGACACTGTTGTGCTGGCTGGGGAGCTGAACGCACAAGTTGGAAAGTTGTCCACTGATGAAATGCATTTGGGCGGTCAGCACGGTGTAGGCTCCCGTAATGATAACGGTGAGATATTACTTCATTTGTGTGAAGATGCTCGCTGTTTCTTGCGAGCACTAATTTCCGACACAGCACCCGCCAGAGGGTGACTTGGCGCCCACCAGCCTTGGACGCAGATCGATCACATTGCTATCAGTTACCGCTGGAGAGGCTGCATCCAGAACTGTCGCTCGATTTGAAGCACATGTGTGGACACTGATCATGCACTTGTATGTGCTGAAATGCGGATGCGTTTTGGGGGACGCCCACGACGACGCTGTGAGCGTATTGAAACCAGCCAACTGGCGAAGCCAGCTGTTCTGGATGCGTATCGAAGGACGCTGACATGCGAGTTTGTAAGCGCTCACTAGAGACAATTGATGGTCACTGGTCACATGTTCGCCAGACCTTACTAGCAGCGGGCAAATCCTCGTGTGGTATGTCTAATAGCCAACATGGATATTGGATCTCTTCGCGGTCTCTAGAACTTATCGACGCTTGCCGGCATATCCCGGCTAGAAACGAACAAAATGAAACTCGCAAAGAGCTCCGGGCAAGACTCCGTGCTAGCCTGAAGAGAGATCGCGAATCTTGGTCTCATCGTGCTTTAGAGATGGAAGTGGCCGCTGCCCTCGGCAACCATCGTAAGTTATACCGTCTGATACGGGAAACCGGCAGCAGAAAACCTGGTGTTAATGAAATAATTTGTGACGAGAGTGGACAGCCTATCTACAGTTTGTCAAAACGTTTGGAGCGTTGGGCTGAGCATTTTGAAAAGCAATTTAATCGGCTAGAATTGTTCGATTCTTCGCCGGTCACTGGTCGTACTGTTCCGTGGGCTGTCCCTTTGGGTCCACCCTCTCGCTCAGAAGTCGAACGTGAGATCGGATTGTTGATGTTGAACAAAGCCGCGGGACCAGATGATCATCCCCCAGCCCTCTTCAAATTCGGAGGCTCTGCTCTTGTTGATGCTTTACATGAATTACTAGTGAAACTGTGGGAGCAGAAGACTGTCCCAACCGACTGGAGCCGCTCCGTTATTATTCCCATCTTTAAAGGAGGCTTGCGTTCGGAATGCGGCAACCATAGAGGAATCAGTCTGATCTCCATCGCCTCCAAATTATTAGCCTCCATAATTCTTCACAGACTGACTGGCGCTCGTGAAAGCCAGATTCGTGAGGAGCGAACTGGGTTTCGTCGGGGTCGTGGCTGCATCGACCACATCTTCATCTTGCGTCAGTTGTTGGTGCACCGTCGCACATAATGGCGGCCCACCGTAGTCATGTTCCTCGACATCAAAGGTGCCTTCGATTCGGTTGATCAATGTGCCCTTTGGAATTGTCTACTCAGGAAAGGTGTGCCCGAGAAATATGTAAATATTATCCAAGCATTATATGCGCGTAGCACGGGCAGAGTGAGGGCTTACGGCAAGCTGTCGCCGCCCTTCAATATTTCCGGCGATGTGAAACAAGGATGCCTGCAGTTACCTTTCCTCTTCAACTTCGCTATTGACGAAGTCATGGAGATTGCATTTACAGGACATGACTTGGAAGGTGTGGAGCTACTCCCAGGAGAACGACTTCTTGACTTGGATTATGCAGACGACATTGCCCTCATCTGTGACAGCTCCCAGACGTGCCAAGCCGCACTGGACAGATTAGCGCTGGCTGTCAGTCGCTTCCGACTTTTCTTTGCACCATCGAAATGCAAAGCGTTCGTCCAAGATTGGCACGCATCGCCTCCTGCGCTGACGCTTGGTGGGGATCATCTAGAAGTCGTTCGGAAATTCAAATACCTGGGAAGTTGTATCAGCGCTCTTGGGATCGAAGACGAGATCACGAACCGTATAGCAAAAGCTCGAAGTGCTTTTGCTAACCTTCGCCACCTATGGCGGCGGCGCGACATTACTCTTGCCCTGAAGGGTAGAGTGTACAATGCAGCGGTACGTTCGACCCTACTGTACGGTTGCGAAACCTGGTCCCTAAGATCGGTGGACATAAAGAGGCTAGTTACCTTCGACCATTGGTGCCTTCGCAGTTTAGCTCCCATCTGGTGGGAACACCGCGTGAGTAACGAGCGTGTTCGACGCCTTGTTTACGGCACAGGAAAAGGATCTGAACTGCTCAGCACCGTTATTTTGCGCACCAGGCTCCGATGGCTGGGCCACGTGTTGCGCATGCCAACCCACCGACTTCCACGACGGGCGTCGTTTCCTCAGCAAGGATGTGGATGGACGAAGAGGTGGGCGGCCAAACGAGGACTTGGTCCAGAGGAATAAAGGCCCTCACTTCAGAGTTGGCCTCGGTTGGAGTGTCACGGCTCCCTGGTTGGGGTCCAAAAGACGGTGAACACGTTTGGCTGGATACACTTGCTGACAAGGCAAGGAGCCGGCCTCATTGGCGTTCGTGCTGTGAGTTTCTTTGTCCCTCCCCATCCCTTTTAGCCTCCCCCTTTATCTACGATCTCGTTTCCCAGCGTAAAACATAATAATTTTTCTTTTTGCTTAGTAGCCGGCTGGTAGCTTACCGGAACGATGCCTATCTGTTGCTGGTAGCTCAGCTGGCATGCAACTGTTGTATTTATTTTCCTTTTCCTTTATTTATTGCGGCACAGTAGCTGAGGTGTTTCTCACCTCTAGCTGACGTGTATAATAATGATAATGATGAATCACTTGCGTTGGCTAGGTTATCTTCTCCGTATGCCCATTGGCCGCCTTCCTCAACGTACTTAATGCTCTCGCTACACCAAGCTGGGCGGAACTGCGAAGTGACCAGTAAGAGGTATGATAGAACTCACTGCGAGATTTGATCCGGATGGTGCGCTTCGTATTCCTGAATTCGAGTTTCGAATTAAGTTACTCAGTGGCTTGAGACTGAATGGGACATGGTGCAGCCTTTGAGTTCTTGTATTCGGTTTCTTGAGAAAGAGGGCATCAGCAGTACGTCGGTACTGCGTATCGGCCCTTCGCTGCCGCGCGACCACCATCGGTAGCACGTGGGCTAATGATACTGCTATGGTCGCCCGGTCCCTAAGCAGGCTGGAACGCGCGCCGTCAGGTAACAAGCCACGCTGTGACCCTTAGGGCCACGGGCCTTATACTTCAAGCCTCCTTCACTTGTGCTATAAATTTGGCCATCTATCTGCAGTTTCCGTTTTAAAAACAGCATCAGGATTTTTATTATTTTTTAGTTCCCATACATTCGTTACCTACGCTACTTGTCCCGACAATTTCCACACAGTAACATGGCACTTTTTCCAGGCAAACTGCTTCAGCCATTGTGTCTTCAACCCTCTTCGACACTGTATGGTTCATCGTTCTGTTCTCTCTTTTATTTCAAGTTTCGTACGCTTAGTGATGTCTCCTATCTATGTGCTCATTGTATCATCGATAGGTACAAAATGAAACCAGAAATCAACTATCGTTTTCTGCGTGGTGACGAGGCGGAGATCGAATATAGCCGATTACACAAGACCATGAATCTGTTCAACGTGATGATAAAACGCAAGTTGGCCGATGGGGAAGTGGAGGATGACACTGCGGGCAGCACCAACAGAGATAAAGAATTGGGGAAGGAGCTCAGGTAAACGAGATATTTTAATTTATCTGCTTCTCCGTCTCCGCTTCTCGCTCCATTGCCTATTGCAAAGTCGGATTGATGGCTGAAATAGATAGTCCACAAACTGTTTCCGAATCATAGCCGAGTCGATTATACCTCAGCCGGATCCTTACTAAGATGCGCTTGCTATCACACTAACCCTCTGCTTGAATAGGAACCGCGGAGATTCAGAGAAAGTCGTATGTTATTTTTAGACTTCTGCTTATCCCGGACAAATGGTGTTGTTTACTTTGTGATCCGTATCTTGTTGTTAAGATCAGTTGGTGGGACTGTTTGATGAGTGCCAAAAATACAGTTTTCTGCACAACTGCAGACGAACAGCTACAGTAGAACGATGATAGACAGTGGTGGCGGGGCTTCGTTGCCAACCGCCCGCTGCCAGTCACGTGCGCTTTAGGCATACTAGGAGGTCGCTCACCGATTCGAACGGGCGACCTTTTGGGTACCACGCAGACGCCCTGTGCCTTCGGTCACGGGGAAACGACTGTAACTCATCCGCACATGTGTGCCCAACTACGCTTTCACAATTGCCAGCCACTGACTAACCTTCGCATAAAAAATGACTTTTCAGGTAGATTCTAAGTGATAAAAATTTACTTTTTTCCCGTGAGTTTTACGGGCCATTATCTTCTTTAAACAAATCGCTGCCATCCGCCTCCATTGTGCGCCGTTAGCATATGTCCGGGGACTATAGCTTGTCACATCAACTTGCAGTAGCGTGCGGTTTCATGTATCAGCAGTCCAAGGTCTTAGTACTTTTCATTGCTACCACCAAGAAGTAGTGCATAAGGGTTCGTTATGTGCTCGTAAAGCGCCTCGTTCAGCCCTCCCTAGTTGTTCCGCTTAAAGAATTGGCTGCTCAATACCTGCTTCTTTAGTCCCCTCATCTAGCTCTCGACTTTCCCATGTTTCGATGTTGATTACATCACTACGCGGCTATAGGGTCACCGACCACACTTCTATAACCAGAAGTGAGTACCTAGCGGAGGGCGAATGAACAACCTGTTTTCTCCTTCTTCTTCTTCTTGCTGCTGCTGTTGTTAACTGCGTCGTGGCGCTGCCAATTGTATATTGGTCAGGTGTTGAATAATGTTGAATACGCACATCACACTAAAGTAGGTTGAAATAGCATCCAATATTACTCGTGGACGCATTGCGTTTGAGCGCTAAGTCGACTATCCTGCGTAGAACACCTCGTGGAATTTCGCAGTGTTCTACTTCTTGCCGGTCCAATATGGTTCTTCATTGAAGATGGTTGATTCCATTAGCCACTTCCTTGTGTGTCGGACTCTGCTAGAGTAGGGAATAGGCCAATCCCCCAGTAAGGAAGAACAAGCAATGCGATTGCGGCGTAAACACTTAAGTTTTATTCCAGACCAAAACGTGAAACTGAAGTTGTTACCGGGGCCCGTCCATAGCAGCCATCGAAGCTAGCTCTGTGTGTGTGTGTGTGTCTGGAGCAGCTCGGAGAAGATTGGCTGTGTGCTGCCTGTAGTCGAGTGGCTAGCCAACGAGAGTAAGCCAATGGTTTCCGTTTACCTTGAGGTGTACCAATCAGAATGACCTGCCTTGAAGCCCTTCAGTGAGCACACTACTTGTCAGCCAACAAGCGAGTTTTTGCGCATCTATACTATTTTACACGCAGGTTAGCACATTGTACCAAGATTTTAGCGTAGCACAGTTTCGAAATCGTGTGCAGTGCTTCCAAATTAGCGTGGTTTCCTTCAGATAGGCATCAAAATAGAACAGAAGGTGGTGCTCGACCACTTTCATTGAACTGTCTGTTGATTATGCTGTGGGCTTCCAAACGGTGTCCCATTGGATAACGTCCCATGACCAATGAGAGTGTCACAACGCCAAAACAGCGTTCTTAGCCTCGTTAACTTGAAAGTACTGCACGCGAATTTGAAAATGTGCCGCGCTAAAAGCATGGTACAATGGTACATGCGTGTAAAATGGTATAGTAGTTGCTATCATCAGGAACTTTCAATTAGATCTTTCTCTCATGAAGTATTTATTTTGACCCCACATTATACCTGTATATCCTGTATTCCGAGTGTTCCATACAAGTTCCGCCAGAAACCTTTGTCTTCTGATTTGAAAAGTGGCTGTATCGTGACCAGAGTGGCTGCATCGGTTATCCGTACTATCAGCAAAAACACAACAGAAGTGATTTAAATTGCGCTGTACAGCCTACTTTGGTTATCGTTCCATCGCTCTTGAGAGGTGATTTCCGATCAACACTAGCCTGTTGGTCTAAATCTTTCCGGTTTGTTGCATTCTGGCCGCTGGGTATCCGCTAACTTTGAGCTTGGGCTCAGCTCCTTCGGGTCTTCGAGGCAGATGATTGTGTGACTACAATTCACGAGCTCCATTGACCTACGCTCGCGACACTGTACCCTCTTAGCCCGTTTATAGTCCGTCATTGTGTTTCAGCTGTCCTGTGCGGTGGTCCAATCCTGGCTTCGGTCGCCGTCGTAGAGTTCTTCTAGTCTTGGTTTGGTCAGCCATTGTCTGCAGCTTGCATTTTCATTCTTATGAAGCGATTTTGCACTTTGCACAGTGCTGAATACTGTATTGTGGAAGCAGGCAGAATTTGGTATCTGTACACCTCCATCGAAATATGATCAAAAACGTTAAAAAAAATGCAAACTATGACTTGTCAATACGCTGATCGTTTTTCACGTTCTCATGCTATATCGTTAAATTATCGTTCAACTCACATGAGATTAGGACTCAAAAATATGAAATGTCTGTGGGTAACCGCTCTTGGATTCTAACATTTAAGAAATGCATATCCAATGGTCATCTAAACTGCTGCACTGAGTTCGCTTCCACTACATGTTCCAGAAAACCGTTCCAGACATTTACCACTTGATGTTTCAAACACAGAGGATGGGAAACTCGTTTCATATCTGGAATCACAAGCTTGTGTTCATGTCCGCGTGTGCTGCAGGGCGATCGCAAGTGGAGCAGTGGCCTTAGCATGGGAAAGTCGGTTACATGTAGAATTCGGTAGGTCAGGATGAGGTCGACGTGTAATCGACGATATGCCAGGGTGTGCCTATCTCCCCTGTCCTCATACGCTAAGTCTCACAAACTGAGGATGGGCCTAGTAGTGACGCGTTGAACCCGTTCAACGTTCTGCGCCTCGCTGCGGGCGGTCGAAAAATAGGCGGGCGAGCCGTACTCTAGCATTGGTCTGATGATGAAGGAAAAGTGGCGAATGGAAACCTCTTCAGACCAGATGCAGGGAGTACGTTTGATTGCCCAGAATATGCGCAGTCCGATACGATATAGCCTGTTCGTGTTCTCAACGGCCTTCAAGTCGCAACTTGAGTGTACTCCTAGGTCCAATAAAAAACATTTCCATAGTTTTTTGACTTTAACTTTAAGGCTTTTAACTCCCCAATGCACATTCTGAGGGGACTTGTTACATTGTCAAGATGATTGCCCGAATCCTGCTCAACCGCCTCGTCAGTCAGGTTGTGGAACCTAACGTGACGGAAGAGCAGTGGGGATTCCGTTCGGGTCGCAGCACTATAGATATGGTGTTTGCGGCTCATCAGTTACAGGAGAAGTGCAGAGAACGACACCAGCCATTGTACTCGCTTTTTGTTAACTTCACCAAGTCATTTGATAAGGCGAACCATGAGGCATTGTGGCTGGTGTTGGCTAAGTTTGGTTGCCCGCGTAAGTTTGTAAGTTTAAATGAATGTGCACAGTGGTATGCAGACGAGGGTGCAACTGAGTTGAGAGACCTCAGATGACTTTTCAGTTGTCACTGTTGTGAAGCAAGGCTGTGTCTTAGCTCCTGCTCTGTTTAATATATATCCTGATGCAATGTTGTCCTGTGCTTTTGATGCCTCTTGTGCTTACGGTGTTCGTGTGGAGCACAGTATTGATGGTGGGTTGCTGAACATCCGTCGTTTCGGTGCGAGAACTCTAGTCTGTGAGACAACTATCCGTAGGTTGCTGTTCGTTGATGACTGTACGTTGTTTTCACACAGCGCGGATGAGTTGCAGCATATGACAAGTGCTCTGGCTTCGACAACGGCCAAATTCGGGCTCACCATCAACACAAGCAAAACTGTCTGTCTCTTTCAGCCTTCACTGGAAATGCAATCTTCCATATTGTTGCGAATCAGCATTGGTGCTGAAGTGTTAGAAACCACCTCCCGCTTCTGCGACCTTGGGAATGGGATGTCGACTGATCAGCAGATACACAGTGAGCTTCGTATCCGCGTGTCGAAGGCAGCGGCGGCATTCGGGTAGCTTGAGTACCGAGTGTGGAACAACCATCAGCTTAGCATTGGCACGAAGTTGATGGTGTCCAAATCCATGGTACTGTCCGTTCTTCTATACGGCAGTGAAACGTGGACGAAGTGGACACAGAAGTGTTGCGTCGAATTGGAATGTATGCAGTGGACTGCATGCTTTTGCTGAGACACCTGAGGTGGCTCGGTCATGTGAGCCGTATGGATTCGACACGGATACCGAAACAGCTATTATGTGGTCAGCTGAGTATTGGAAAGCGGCACGTGGGGAAACCAAAGTTACGTTACCAGGACATGATCAGCGTAAGCCTCTCACGTTCTAATGTTGATTGCAGTTCATGGGAATCGAAAGCAGTCGAGCGGCGTGCATGGCGCGATCTAATCACGAAGGCAGTTGCCGAAGTGCGGGAAAGAGATCTCATGCATGCAGAGAAGCGGCAAGCCCCGATGGGTTGTACTCCATCGACATCGAGCGCATAATGCACATGCGGTCGTGAGTGCCTGAGTCAGGCAGGCCTAGTGAGCCATGAGCGAGGCCACTCGGGACCACTACTGAAGCGACGACGGGTCCTGCAGAGAACGTAGGCTGAACCGGCACAGCGTTTGTAGGCACGCTGCATTCGATTTACTAACCGCGTGCTTGCATGCTAAGTCTCTTTATTTCAGGTGGTGGGTTTTCAATTTTGCCTTAATGCTTTTCTTTCTCGTATAAATGTCTACCTGAACTGTCTTCTGTAAACTTGCACACATCGCTGAAGCTAATTGTAGTTGATTTCGATAACGTTTTCGCGTTTGTCACCTTCCCGTAAAATATATTTCCTGACCTCTTGAACTTATCGCGGATTCGTTCATAAGCACTTTTGTTTATACGCCCATTTAGTGAAGAGTTGTCCCCGTGTCTGTATGCATTAACCGATTTATTTTATTTCATCTTGTCGTTTCAAGTGATTGACTGTTGTTTGATATCCCCGGTGTGGCTGCGCTTGATGTACATGTTGACAAGGTGCCTACCTGTCTATTACGCACTGCCTCGTCCATACCGGCTCTAGGAGACAGTTGGTTGTTGCTGGAGCTGACGGGGTGTACGGTCCTTGTGGCCGTGGTAGGATCAGAGTGGTTCCATGCACTCAGTGTGGAGCGGAGCGCGGTCCAACCACCGCCTTGTGTGTGCGCTTTATGCCCCAAATACAGCGTGGTTGTGTTTGCCTGTGAAGGAGTGTGGGCCGGCTCCGTTGATGAAACCTGGCTCCCATCCACATGCCTCCCGGTCTTATTCCTTTGGGTTTATACTGGATATGGGGTGTGTGGATGAAACTGTGGGTGGTGCAGCGCAAGCCACCCATGCTCCCCCTGTAGGCGCAGGCGTCCTGTGGCTGTCCCTATGGAAGTCACAGTGACAGGCAAATCCGAAACCGGATGCCTCCAACCATCCATTCCATCCATGGTTTTTTCCAAGCTTGCCTATTTGCTATGGTATTTCTGTGCTGGTTAGCTTTTGCGTCCACTTCTCGCACTCTTATTTGACAGCGCCTGCTCTTTTTCTGCACGTAGTATGTGATCCAGTCGTCTGGCTTGCAACCGCCACATCTCACGACGCCGAGTACTGACCGCTGCATCGGTCTGCGCGGATTGCAGTGTCCCAGGCCACATAAAATTTCTTTCCATCGCATGTTATTGTTATACCATCGTCACAATGTCCTGAAGTACCGTTGATATCCGTTTTACGCCAAAAACCTTTCGTCCACATGTCGGATCAATCTGCGATTTTCTGATCTAATTTTCATCAATCCATCGTAACTGTTTTGATTCATTGAGAGCAAATCTCTCAGCCTTGCTCCTGCGCGACCTCGTAACCCTCTTAGTTGTGGGATTATACCACGCACTAAGTGGTCGCTAAATTTGCTGGATGATCATATTCCTGATAATTTATTGGTAATTCCATTCTATTCCTAATATTTGGTCATCAACACATTTCTCGTCAGCTCAGATATACGCGTTTATCCAAATTTATTTATCGATATTTCTAACTAATTAACATTGACGTACTGTTTACCAACCTCAGTTACTCCTTGTTGCAATGTGCAACATTACAGAATCCTCAAGTTTCACATCGCCCCCTCATTGTTTGTTGAATTACTACTGTCCGAACACGCGATTCGGTTCGCCTATCGTAAGGCTGTCGTCGTCATTTGTTTATGAATACTCTAGTAGAACCACGGTTTGTCATTACATGTTATTCTGCCCAGTACTCAATGCATCAGCATAGTGATTCGATTAGACCACTCTGCCTTTCGCCATTTGTAGTACGGTTTGTATGTTGGGAAAACGTTTGGATACATATGATAAGGCAGTGGAGAGCAAAATACTCAACTACCATAAAGTTGTCATCACGGGAGTAGGGTCTCATCTCATGTACGCAATTGGACACGAAGTCTTGCCATGTCCGAGCAACGCGTAATATTCATCTGTTTTATCATTTGCGGTCCAGGTGATCGAATTGACTATGGATCACTTCAATGTGAATTGCGGTCCACATTGAGATTGCATGTCGCAACCTATTCACACGACAGATGCCTCCAAACGTCCGGGATCGTTTTTAGCTACGCTTGCGCGTGGTCCTTGCGATCCCAACCCGGGAATCGAATGCGACAGACAACGATCAGCTTTGATGTTGTCGCCTTAATACTGTACCTAAGACATTCCTTGACCACCTAGCTTCCGCTCCCAACCGCTGCATGGTAGGTACAGATGGCATAACTCCTGTTACATCATGGCTGGTGTCAATTAAGCTTTGAATTATGGAAGGAAGCTTGGTAATGGGAGCCTATAGGGGTTGTAAGAAAACAGGTTGGAAAGAAAAGGGGAAGTCATCAGAAGTAGCACGTTTTCGCTTATCCGCCCTGCTGCATGCAGCAGATAAGCGACCCTCGATTAGCTACACGACGGCCGATTCAGGATCTGGTGGACTGAAATACTGCCAAGACGCTCAAACCTAGCTACAGGAACGGTTAGGGTTCTGAACCAAAGCTTTTAGCTAAAACGCCTGTTCACAATGTAGCTGGAAATAGCAGCCATCCGGCTTTCCAAACTCTATGCCATTCTTGTTCCTACCCTCAACCTAATGGCCCAGAAGATTGAGTGGACAAGGTCGGCTCAATTATTATGAAAAATGTGTATTTTCTTTTATCTACAGCGCTATGACTGGCTTTCCCTACATCTGAAACTTCGTGTATACAGAGCCACAGTGAGAGCCGTCCTCATATATTGGCGTATGAATCGGCTACTTCGGCCTGAGGATCCGAAACACGTTTGAGGGGCATTACTGGTGTTGAATGGCACCAGAGTTTACTCAACGATAATGCACACAGGTGATTACAAGGTTGTGAGGGTCAGACTAGTTATTTGGCACAGCAAGTCACATTGAATAAGTTACAGTGGATTGGTCACCGCAAAAGGTGACTTAACAGCCAGAAATGAGGTCACTGAAGGCTAATCTGTCGTTGTCCTCTCTTGCGCTCAGTGTTAGAGTCTATACGACCCTTGGACTGTAGGCGACAGCTCTCAGTTGTAACCAGCTGCTCGTTCGCCGCCGCCCCCTATTCGAACTGCCTGTTTTAGGTGTATGTGGTTCTCAGCTATCTGCAGAGCAGGGTGGAATAGTGAAAGCCGCAAGGAAGTCGTTTCGTGGATGCCGTCTTGTCTACACAAGATAGCTAGCTGTTTGTGACTATCTGGCTGTCTACATGTACTCACCTTACCCCTGCATCGATGTGTAACGGCAAAGCATCAGCTCCAGTTGATGATGTACTGCTGCTAGTGCTGATGATGGTGGTGGTGATGACGATGATGAGGATGAGGATAGTCTTTATTGCAACCCTTGCGGTTTTGGTTCACATAATCATTTTCTTGCCTTTGTATCTTTACCGCTTTTGGCTTTGATCATGTGAAGTAAACTGTAAATCACCTACTTATTACAGATACCTCTCTGTCGCAACAGAAAATAAACTCCGCACCGGAAAGGATTCTGAGCTTGGAGCCAATGAGTCAAAAGCAAATTCCCGAAGATCAAACCGAGCTCTCAAGTTGACGGATTTGGAAGAGGTGCAGAGTACAAGTGACTTGGAAGAAGAAGAGGATGAGATGGAGGCGGACGCGGACCCGGATGGTCAAATCGGAGGTGTTTCTGAAGGATCTAGGCCGGGATCCAGCAATTTCAAGTCCGCCAGTCTTGACTCATCCAAGTCTTCGGCGAATGCAAAATCTCAGCTCGAGAAAGCTCGCCTTTTGAAAAAAAAGCAACGCGACGCTGCACTTGTGGCACGAATGCGCCGTTGCGCCAGAATACGAAAAGCGCGAAAGCGACAAATTGCAGGCTCCTCATCAGAAGAAGATGATCCCTTAGATGAGGCTCGGGACGATAGTGAGGTGGATGATAGGGAAGGAGACGAGGTTAGCCGCTGCTTTTGTCGCACGCTGCCTTCTATCTCACTTGGTTAAATACATACGAGGAAAGATATTGTTTCTCCTCCGGGCATGTGCTTCCATTGCGCTCACATAGACAATATCACGTCAACCCTGATTTTGAGATCGTTGCTGTTCCCCTGTCCATCTGACTTATGTTCTCTTGCTTTCTTCCTTTCATGTCTTACCATTAATCGTAAGGTTGAACAGATTACATATCCGTAACTAGTAGGGGGATTTATCAGGTATTTGTGTAGGTTCGTTGCAGGCAGACACAGGCAGACAGCCACCACACATCCAGGAAAGCGCTAGACGGCCGTTTCGTCCTATTGGGACTCGCCAGTAGCGCGCATCAGCTGAATCCTGCCTGATTCGAGCCCACGAACTTACTCTTGCGAGTCAGCGACTTATATCACTGAGCCATGGGCGACGGCAGCGGACCGCCTTAGCAGCTTTCATGCCACCTCGATTGGTGGCGGCTTGCAAAGGAAATCGTTGCTCTGCGGGCCAGCCATGTCCTCTGCACATTCATAACATGCAAGACAGTGGAGGATGAGCCTCGCTATATCGCAGTTAGATATCAGTCATGGCGGTCCGATGCCGTCGCCCATGGCTCAGTGACATAAATCGCTGACTCGCAAGAGTAAGGTGGTGGGTTCGATATCCGGCAGGATTCGGTGTGTGCGCGCTACTGACGAGTCCCAATAGGACGAAACGTCCGTCTAGCGCTTTCCTGGATGTGTGGTGGCTGTCTGCCTGCGACGAACATACACAAAAGGATTATATATCCCCTTAATTCAATCGGTGAACATCATAATTTCGGTGGAATGTCTCGTGGATCGAAAAAATTACGGACGACTCATTAACTTCAATAAAGAGTTTTACCAGTTTTCCTTCAGTATTAGCTTTTCCTCGTGTTACGGTTAGATGTCTGCATTTGAGGTTGTATTTGAATTCAGTCACCTTTTAATTAGCTGTCAATAACCGTGACCTACTCCGTGGAAACAACAAACCAATTTTGTTGTCCGTTTCTGTTGATAACTTTCCGTTTGTTCAACTTGGGTATTGCTAATAAGGGCGCCGAGTTTAGCCCCCCTTTGACGCCACCCTACGATTCATCATCCAAAAGTTTTAACATCTCTTATTTCATGAACACCTAGTCGAAGACGTGGCCACCGTACAACATTACTTTCCGACTCATTTCTTTATGGCCTCATACTCAGCAACATTATGATATGCACAAGCGCCCATTCCACTTTACGGTTTATCGACTTAGTTGATACCAGTCTGTCATATAGCTCCATGAAAATAAAAATAAAGTCTGAGCCGCACACACATCCTAATCACTATTCCGTTTTCGCTGCTTTTCTCTTGCTATATCTGCTTGTCTATCCCCCCTCTACTGCTTGCGTTCATCGGCACGGACGCGCTGTTTACTCGCTGCGTCCTACCCGTCTCACGTTTGCTTTGTCCGGTGCAACGTTCAGCTTCGTCCCCGCTGAACCGCGCTGTTTTTGCTTTGTCCATCAGGCCCCTGCGGTCACGATCCGCTCTCGTACTCATTACTTGGTTAGTTTTCTGTTCCGTCCACCCAGTTAAGCAGCCAACTTCAACACTTTCCGTCGGTTTAGCTTTGTAGGCGGGCGATTTCTGTTTGCTGTCTTGTCCAGATCGATAGATTGGCGGGGCGTTCCCGCCGAAAGACACTGCACTCCATCACGCGTTTCAACCTTGTTTGATCACATCAGGTGGAGAGAGCAGGCATCGAACCCGGGATCATCGGAATGTTCGTCGAGACTTCTACCCTTTCGAGCACCGGGTCGCGACGGGCACAACGGTTACTGACTAATTGTAACGCGCAGCCTCAACATGCACCGTGATTTGCATTGAAGCGAACCTTGGCCAATTCGATCACCATGACCGTATCAGAATCAGATAGACATTGGGTGTTGCTCACCCGAAAACTCTGCACTCCAATACGCATCCTAAACACTTTTGAGCTCATCAGTTAGAGATATCAGTCACTCGAACCTGAAGCCCTTGGATTGTCAACCGAGATCCCTACCCCTAAGCCACAGAGTCGCTTTGATCAAGATTGATCAAGATTCACTTCAATGGGAATCGCGGTCTAGATTGAGATTGTACATCGCAATCTAGTTATACAAGACGAATGCTCCAAATTGATCCCTCTACCCCACTGGGAGCAATTTTCTGCGACATCAGTTTGCAGTCGTCAGCGTCGATTTGTACATTTGGTTGACCACTTTGAACGACATTTCAATTCTACTTTTTAAAGCTCCCCCAGTACTCATTGATGTGTGGATGCTTCACCACCGATTGAGGCAGAGGTTACCCGCTGACTTCGCCTCTTGAAGTGCCATAAAGCCCATCATTATTACACTATACCTGAGAGTAACAAACGCACCTCAGTTAATGTGCTGCAATACAAAAAGATGAGCTAGTAAGCATTACAGACTACAAAACAAATGATCTACTGCTAAGTATCTCATCATGCATCGGGTATGAAATTGTGGGAGAGAGACCAAGAAACTCACAACACGAACGCCATTCGAGTCGGCTCCTGGCCTTGTCAACTAGCGTATCCGACCATCCACCGAAGCCAATTTGGAAGTGAGGGTCTTCATTCCATTTGACCATGTTATTGTTTGGCCTCCCCTCCACTTCTTCTATCCAGACCCCGGCAGCGCAAATAACGTACGTTGCGGGAGTCAGTGTGTTGGCATACTCAACACGTGTCCCGGCCATCGGAACATGGCGCGTGACATAACTGTGCTGAGCGTTTCTGGTATCGCTCTTCTGGGATCAGATACGGGATGCCGAACACGCTCGCTGCTCACGTGGTGTTCCCACTAGATATCAGCCGAACTGAGAAGGCAGCGATAGTGGGACATAGCTAGTTACCCCGTGTCTTTCAGCCTGATGGGCCAAGCTTTGCAACCGTACAAGAGGATTGAGCGCACGACTGCGTTGTAAACTCTGCCTTTCAGAGTGAGAGTGATGTTCCACCGGCGCCACAGGTGGCGGCGATTGGCGAAGGCACCTCTAGCTTTTGTTATACGATTCGTACTTTCATCTTCTGTTCCACATGGGCAACTACCCAGGTATTTATGAACGACTTCTAACTGCTCCGCGCCAGGTTTCAGTGCGGGGGTGGGTCTCTGGCAATCGTAGAATGGGACTTCGTGTTTAAAAAGTGCAAAGCGTAGCCCAAAACAATTAACGGCCAGTTCTAATTTGTCCATTACTACTTGACACCTTTGAGAACTGTCACAGATTAAGACGGCGTTGTTTGGCATACCCCAAGTCAAGTCGTTCATTTGAAAGCAGGTTCATACCCTGTAAATCATGTCCAGCGGAGGCTATCTCTAATACTTCGCCAATGGCGAAGTTAAAGAAGAATGGCGACAGCGAACAGCCTTGTCCCATACCACTGGAGATATTGAATGGCGGCAACAGTTTGCCATAAACTATCATTCTGCCCGAACTGTACACGTACCGCGCTGTTATGACATATATTTATCGGGCACACCTTTACTTATCAGACAGTCTCAAAGAGCAAATCGACCCAATAAATCGAAGCCATCTTTGATTTCTGGACGCACGACTACAGTAGGTCGCCAATAAATATGGCAGTGTTTTAATAACTGACGTGAAGTTAAAGATATGGTCTAGGCAGTCTCGATTTCGATGATACTTGGCTTGTTGCTCGAAAATCTGGATTTTGCGAGTGCCAACCAAACTGTAGAGAGGGATAGGTGCAAACACTTGAAGCGATTGAGATCATATTGATTCTTCTATGCTTGCCGCATTCCGTACATGTGCTTTCCTTAAACACTGAGACTATGACGGGGCGGCTCCAGTCTGCTGCGACAGTCTCCTGCTCCCGCAGCTTCACTACTACGTTGTGCAAATCATTCACGAGAGTAAGTCCCCCGAATTTGAAGGATGCTGGAGGAAGTCTATCTTCCGCGGTCTTATTCAATTTTAATTTTCTGATCTCACGTTCGACTTCTGCGCGGGAGAGCGGATCCAAGGAAGAAGGGTGCTCAATACCCGAAACGAAAGATGATAACTTAAGTTGATTAAACTGCTTTTCGAATTGTTCGGCCTAAAGTTCAGTTCCTACAAGCTGTGGATTGCTTCTCCAATCTTGTCGCGTATGTTCTCGCTAACATCAGGTCGGCTTTTCCTCTTTTCTCATATGAAACGGGTAACATTACGGCAGCTGCCGTTTCCATCCCCAAATTATGATGAGACCACTAGACTTCGCGGTCTCCTTTCGGCTTAACACGAAGTTTTGCCTTGAGATCTCTGCGAGCTTCACTATATTCCCATCCAGCCACGAGACATGCCTGCGAGCATCCAGATGTTTCTGCGAATGCATAGAGACCGAATGTCCAGGTCGGAAATTTGATTTGCCACATGAAGACATGCCTGCTGCTAGTAACATCTGGCGAATATGCGACCAGTGATCTTCAACTGTGTTCAGTGAGCGCTTACTCTGCCCGGATGCCAGCATTTAGAACACCTGACTTCCCCACTTGGCAAGTATCTATGCGCTCACAGCGCCGTTGCGAATGTTTACCGGAACGCATCCCCAGGTCTACGCATGCAAATGCGTTGTCAGAGTCCATCCTCGTGCCCCAAATCGAGCGACAATTCCGGACACA